AAGTCGAAAAATTTGTGATTTTCTAAAGTTTGTAATTTAACTTTTGTCGATACGGTGTAGAGGCCGTCAACTGTATGGGGGGTTGGAAAAAATGTCATTGGTTAATGAATTCAGTGGAAAAGTTTGCAATAAAAGGCGGAAGAGTGTCGGCAATTTTAAATACGTGTGTATCTATGTACATTAGGGGTATTCACGATCCGATGCATACTGTCTGGCATGGTGCAAGTATAGCATAAATAGCATGATTGTTATTATTTCATGTATTCAAACAACAACAAAATTAGCCAATCATGTTATTTATGCTATCTATGCACCATGTTAGACAGTATGTACCGGATCGTGAATACCCCTATTGTAAATCTAGTCAAATTTCCACATTCGAACCACATCAGCTTTTTCTTCGTAATATATTGATTCGAGTTGTGTTGGTTTGCTTTAATTTTTCTTTGTTGCTTACGAATTTCCATGAACATTTCACCATCCGTGTCGATTTTGAGCAGCAGCACTTGTCCTTGAGCTGTATAATGACCATTTAGGCGTATTTTAGGCACTGAATAAGTCATTTTGAAATCGTATTCATTTTCTTTGAAGCTGCACAAAACAGAGAGAAAGTTTTTTTTAGTGAAAGTGTCTTTCAAGTATTTTATGGAAATATGTTTTTATATTTGATCTGCATTTAAAATAAGATTTATAAAAATATATTATATATATGTCTACCACCACTTAAGTAATACTTTTCGCAATTTGCTTGCTTTTTTTGTAGTCTCACTACTATTATTTACTAAATCAACTCAGCTGTGCATATTTATTAGTAATTGAAAATAATGGAGTAGCTAACTATTAACCCAATACCAATTACATACATATATCTATACATATTTATAAATATCCATTTGCATACTTACTTGACACTCTTCACCTTCGCCTCACTCAAACCAGTTACTGTGATGTTGTTTATTTTCACTGTGATTGGTGTGATATTTTCACTATCTTCGATCACCTCGAATTCGCGCACAAATAAGGGGTCTATGGGTTCTGAATGAGCAAAGCCAGGTAAACCTAGTGAAAGAAAATGTAAATGTAAAGCAATTTTTTATAATCGGAAACTTTGCAAATTTACTAGACAAAGAAAAAATGTTTATTAATAACTGATATTATTCGATTTTAATTCGTATTTTAATATTCTCAATTTTTCTATACAATAAAGGAATATATCTAATATAGAAAATTATTAACATTTCATTTATTATAGTGAAAAACATACAATTTTACAAGTATAAGTAAATTACAATTACATTAGATTTCAAAATTGCAGACAAAATTTCTGCCAAAATTTTGCCAAAAATCTATTGACCTATTCTCACTACTTAACGTATACACTACACACACACACAGAAAATTATAGCCAACTTTTGTCAATTTTTTTTTTAAATTATTGAATTTAAAAGAAACCTTATTTTCAATACATATGTGCTATGAAATTCTATTAACTTTTAAATTAGAAAGCCGTCATATTGGACCCATCATTTAGAATTTTTGTGACCTGCTTTCAGATTCGTAATCAGCTGTCATCAAAACTCCTAAATACTATGAAAATCTCCCGAGTAAAAAGTTTCGAGCGAATTCAATAATTTTTAAAAATTGAAACCTGACTGAAATTTTGTTATCAGTGGTCCCATAAACTAGTAGATACGAAGTTGTGTTCGAGTCCATCAACGCGAATCGGTTAAAATAGTTTTGTCCCGCTAGATTCTCTATTCAGACCACTATGCGACGGAAGAAAAGTATGTCGACACCAAAATCAGCACTTATGAGCGCTTCAAAAAAAAAAAGGAATTTTTAACTACACACGATATTCGGTTGCATGCAGTAAATAACTTAAGTAAAAAATAAAACGTGATATTCATTAATATACTTAAGTACTTAGCTCTAAAATTTATTTAAAGAACTTCAAAACAGACAACATTTAATCGTGAATTGGTAGAGACCGGAGAACACAACTTAATTACCACTGGACATTGGCGTCGTTTCATTTTAAAAGTCGTTTAGTTTCATACTTTTAAACTAAAGCTTTCTTAAGCCTTACAGCACAAAAAATCAAGCGCTGAATCTTAAAGTTTTAAAATATTTATGTAGAGCATACCGGTTAATTTGGATCGTTCATTTCAAAAATGAAATCAACAATTTTTAAAGCTCTTAGTTTTACCGTTATTCAACGTTCGTTATATTGGGCAGTGATAGAAATGATCTTAACCAACTTTTTTCCTTCGCAAAATATATTTCTAAACTATGAATAAAGCCTCCATGCATATACTATTTGTCGAATCTCCATTTCCCCGGAAAATTGGTTAGTATTTTTCAATAGATTACACAGCTCACTATCAACTTTTCTGACACTTTTTATTCTTGTGAAAAACACGGTCAACTGCAACCTAAAAATTTAATTAAACAATTGGGGTAAAGAATGATATAATTTTTCAAAACAACTTTTCTCTTAACAACAAAAGCTCTTATTTACGAAAAAGGAGCTTAAAGCACAAAAAAGTTTGTGCAATATATTGCACGCTGAATGATACTCGTATATGTATAGAATATAAACACGTTGATAAGGGAATCTTTAAATTTTTCATTTTTTTACCGAATTAGGATCTGATAATTTTCTACCTCTGTAGCTGCTTCAGATCGCCCTAATTGATAATAATGATGATAGAGCATTTATACAAACAGTGAGTCTCAGTCAAAATCGTACAGTACATTTTTTCCATATTTTGTCTAATTAATGTTCTTTTAATTTTTAATTAAAATTTATTTACACTAAATACAATACAATCAATAAAACTCACAAGTTTCTAACTTTGAAACAATCAAGCAAAAATCGTCAAATTTTTATTAAAATTCCAAATTTTTTATTCAGATTTTTTTTGGGTATGCAGTTTTGTAGCCCATTCAATTCTAATATAACAAAGTGCGAGTTTGAAGTTGCTACAAAATACCGTTGATTTTTGAGAATTTTTTTGTGGTGTTGCAAAGTTAGAAACTTTGTGTTTTATGGATTTTGTTGTAGTGTGAACCAAATATAGTGTTCTTATTAAAAAAAGAATAAAATTCAAATAAACGAAAATATACTTAAAATATGGAAAAAAAATGCATTGTACGATTTTGACTGACACTCACTGTATATATATATGTATGCATGTATGTACACAGATTATTTCTCCTTTGTTTACCCTTTACATACCATTTTTCCAGGTACTAAATATGTGCTGATATGCACTCACTATGCATTTATCAAAATCAGCCGATTTACGTTGACAGGTTTGCAGATCTTTAGCTGTAAATGAACAATTTAAAATATATTTTAAACAAAAAACCGGGTTATTTCACAGAGTTCGCGTGCGTTACGGCAACAACTTACGTTTCTCTTTCAAAAAATTTGTATTGTTGTTGCTACGGTGAATGCGTTCGGTTGTGGAGCTAATGTCAGTGCTTTTGGCCGTGGAAGTGGTTGTGGTGGTCGTCGTAGTGCTGCTAACGGTACATGACGTCCCACTGGTGCAGCTGGTTGCGCTGTTTGTACCGAAAGACACAGACAACGCTGCGCATAAAATGCCAAGAGCATATATGACGCTGATGGAATGCATTTTGAAAAAAAAAACTGCGTTGCTTTATTTACTTAAATGTTAAGCTCAACTAGTTTTATTGAAACTTGTATTTGTTTGCATTTCTTTATTAAAAATTTCTTCACTTTTTTCGTTTTCACTTGCGCATTTAACGTCACTTACACCGCTGTTGTTATGATTTACTAAAAAAAAAAAGTGATTGGTTGCTGCTTACACGGCGAATTGCAGTTTTCAACTGTTTCATTGCACGCTTTAAACTTTGCTTTTATTTGAAATTAAAAAAAAAAAAAAATTACAACAAAGTATAACTTTAAGTTGCTGATTGAGAGAAATAGTGCAGGCAGGTCTGGTGTGAGTGCGTGTGTTTGGTGTTTGACTACTCAGTGTTTAATTGCTAAATTTAAAGCAAATAAAAAGTAATCATCGTAATGCGAGGCGTTGTGCTAAGGTCGCCTTTTTTCCAAAAACATTTGTATGCACGTACAGTGGCGGACAATGAAGTGCGAACATAAAAGTAATTTGCCTTTAAAATTTTACAACCAACAATAAACTGGGTTAACAAATACGTATTTTAATTTTAACACTCTTTATACAGATTTTCACGCCGCTAAATTTTGAAGAAATGTCACATGTCACGATTTTTCGATTGACAGAATAGCTGTTTGTAGGAATACTATGATATATATATCGTGCTAGGTATGGAGAAACTAGCATTGCATACTAGATGGCTGTCGTTATAGGCCACAATTATTTACAACTCAAATTGAACTAAATTTAGCTCATGTTTGAGGTTCTCCTACCAAGTTTCCTCCCTTTTGTATTTCATTTGCGCTCTACAAAAGTAAAATATACAAACGCTCGGAATCTTTTATCTACCAATGACTACTTATCGTGATCGTGCGCCGGTTTATTTTTATTTGTCCGCTACTGTGGAGCAAGACTTTTTTTATTTCTCGTGTTTTGTCTTATAGTTTCTGATTTTGCTTTTTATCTTTTTACTGTAAGCTTTTGTCTAGCTTTTTGCGTTTAGTTTTGTTTAATTATTTTTATTGCAGGTTAAGTAATTAGAACAGCATACAAACTACTTTTGTAGTGTAGTGAAACTTTTTGTAAACTAGTTCAACTTGAATAAACTTTCGTTTACTATTCTTCTCTGGCAGGCAGAGAGAAATGAAAAATTCTAACAGGAAGTCGATGTATCGAGTAAATTNAAAAGTGAATGTTGTTGACTAAACAGGTTTAAACGCAAAAAATTTATTTTACATTCCTGAACTCAATTTCAGCATTATAAATGAAGTAAATAAATACACAAAAAAAAACTTTCTAATATACCACTTTCTAAAAAAAACAAAACCGATATCAATTCTCATATATAAAATTTAAGATTATCGTTAATTTCTTTTATTAATTAAAACAAAAGCCAACTCCTAGCCACTTGCCACTTGCACTTAATTAGATATACTAAAACTTAACGTCTACGTAATCGCATAGCCAATATTTTTCTAAAAACTAATCTAATTTCTAAATTTTAATTTTGGTGAATCTTTTTTATAACAGTTTAAATTTTCCTTATGAATGTTTTTTCGTTTTGGGGAACCATACAACTGTTTTCAACTAGTTTTTATTAAGTAACATTTATTAACTGGAACAGGAGAATCGTTTTCTTCAAAATTACTACTTTTCCGCACTTTGCACTAAAAATTTTTTATAAACATAAAAAAATTCAAAAATCGGGCTCAACTGGTCTCTTGCTAATTTCATAAGCT